AATAACTTAATTAAAAGAACTATCGATAAGTATTTAAAAAAATATTTTCCTTTAAATTTTAATACTTTCTACTCTAATTTTTAGTTTCTCTATGTCAGCATTAGAATCCTATACAGTAGGTATATAGGGCCGGTTCTAAGCCATTTGTCTAGAGGTGAGCGCGTGGTGCGGGGGATACTCGTAGGCGAGGGGAAGCGTAGCGCGGGGATTCTTCGGTGGTGGGGGTATGACGTAATAGCAGTAAGATTTTGGGGACTGCAGTCACGTACAAGACAACAGAAAACATCACAAAAAAAGGAAATATTACCATGAACAAAAAACAATACAAAAAACAAACAGTTATAGAACGAAAAGTGTTACAAAGGGTATATGCTCCAACCGTTTTTCGACCAAGATATAGCGTAATGTAATATTTCTATAGAAACAATATTTTATTAATTATTTTAAATACTTAAATACAACCAAATTTCATTAATTATTGAGAGTAGGTATAGTAGGCAAGTTCTAACTCTATGTGACTAGAGCGCGGAGAAGGTCCCCCGGTCGCTGCTGCGACCCTGCGACCACCCCAAAAATGCATTGCGGGCCGCCGCCACCCGCCGTGGGCCGCCGCCACCCGCCCATAAAGGTACGAAAACGTCTTTTTCCTTTTGTTTTTTTATAACTTAGTTTTCACAATACACTGTGTTCTTTCCTTTTTTCTTTTTACTAGGGCAAAGGATGGGTAGTAAAATAAAGTACTATATACATATATAGTGATGCGAAAGAATTTATTTTTATTCACATCTTATTACACCGATTTTTCTTATTTTATAATATTCTCTTGCGATCAGCAGCGTTCGAACACGATCGATGGCTCGGACGTCGCTAGCAGCGGTTCCTGGAAAAATGAGAATAGAAAAACTTTTTTTGATCACACTATTCGTTTTTTCAGCAGAGAATAATATGCATTAACACTAGTCACCGTAAATGCAATACCTTATGGCTTATATTTTGATTGCGCTGATGATGAGGAACTCGTTGGTGACTTTAATGCTTTTTCGTTGGGACAT